CTCATCAATAGATTTGACCGCCTTTAGATCTTTAGAGAATTTTCCAAGAGTTGTTTTCAAAAAAAAATTGAAGAACATCTGTAATGAAGAGGTTGTTTAAATAGGTTTTTAATCAATCTTAGTTTTTTAGTCTTGTGCTTGGTTTGTCTTTCGCTATCAAGGAGTCAAAGCTAGCTGACATCTTCATGTTACATATTTTTTTTCAAGAAATCATATGCCAAAAATAGTAATAAAATGCAAAGCGATATTTGAGAATACTTACTAAATTAAATTGTTCAGCAGGAATTTTTGAGAATTTTACCCTGCAAGAGGTACTGCATTGGCCTATCTCCAATCCAGTATCTGGCGACTCTAGTAAAGAATCTATTTCAGCTCTACTGTCAGCCAGTGCAAAATTTCCTAATCCAGCAGCACCCATATCAGTGGCAGGCAAACCTCCAACACCAGCAGTTACATTCTCATCCTCTGAAAAATTAAACAATTATTTTATTATTATTAATTGTGACTTTCTGCAAACTGTATAGCAAAGATGACATTTTTAACTGCAATAACTGAACACAGATATATCATTATAAATTACAACATCTTTGGTGAATACAATTTACAAAATTTGTTATAAATTTACAACAGCCCAGCCCATACCCAGTGAGCACTGAAATGTCAGACAGATATCAGAAACGTGTTGGTTTCAGGACCACATTTTTATAGATCTGATGCGAAAACCGACAAATTTCTAATGTCTGATGTTGTTTTGATATCAGTCTTATATTTCATTGCTCACTGGGTATTTACTCTTCAATCAATTCCAAGTAAATATGCGGGTTGATGCGGGAGGTCCCCCCTCCGGGAGGTCCGCCGGTACCTGTGATTTCACATTCTTAGCTGCAATTATTTCATTATCCAGCGGCCCAAAATCGGTAATTTCAGTAGATTCAAACTGGTCCATGTACTGGTGATACAGCCAAGTCTTCACATTTTGTTGGTATGTACCCATGAGGCCCTTCAGTTTCTTTTTCAACTGCCTCATTGAATAAAAGTAACCTCTCTCCCACATGTAGCCAGTTGTGTTTGTCCACGCATGGCCTTGCAATTTCGTGTTCTTCTGGATATTCACGTTAATGTTAAGTTTTGAAAGCAGGAGCGCCTTTATAAAAATCAAGGTTTCCAGATGTGGCCAATCTGTCCTCATAGTTTGCCCGGCAGGCAGTACCCAATCTCCATTCGGTCCTTTCTTTAATTCTGCAAATAAAGACAAAATTTAGAAAAACATTTTCAACACACACATCAGATTAGTGAGGTGAAGACTCATACCAAACAGAACATCACTGTCCTTGTGAGCAGTAACTGATGGTGATGGAGCAGTGTTGATGGTGTGTTGAATATGTTGTTGCTTATTTACTAATTTAAAGTTGACTCTGTGTTCAATCCAAAACATAGGTTGGATATTTGAGAACAATTTGGCAGTTACTGGATCTCTGAACTAAACAGTAGAAAAGCAACACCCCAATTTTTTTAAAAGTTAAAAAGCAAGCAAATTGATTTTAAAAAAGGTGTAAATACCTCAACAGTTACAGAACTATCAAATTCATCATATTCGAAGTGTTTGATCGATGCCAGCCCATCCTTGGCAACATCATACTTCAACAGCATTTGATTTAGATAAAATTCAAAGAACTCCTGAAATAGATAGTAATGAGCTAAATCGGGAAAAAAATGCCTATTTCTGAGGTCATAAAGGTCTTGAAAATATTTACCGCATTAAACTGGTGGACTGGCACATCTCGAATTTGAACACAAAGTGATGGCAAACTGTTGTTACTTTGTTCATTAGAGACCAACTGAAAAGTCAGAATTTGATCCAAATATGTGGGGTCAGGTATATTTGAAAACAGTTGAGCTATTTCAAGATCTGTGAACTAACAAAAAACAAAGGTAATTCCCTAATTAAGAAGTTCAAAAGCAAGCTGATTAAAACACAAAAGGTGCTCATACTTCAACAATAATTGACTTGTCCAACTCATTAAAATTGTTTATTTCTTAACAGAGGCCAGCCCATTCTTGGCCACCTTATAAGTAGTGAGTAAATCTTCTAGAAAAAATTGGAAGAAGCTCTGAAATAGATGATGATGATTGGATTAGTTGGAAATTCAATATCAATATTTCTTCTCATAGGATTGGAGAATATTTACCAACTCAAAGTCGTCAGGAAAATTGGAAATTTTAACACCAGTGATGGGAGCAGTTTCATTGTTCATGAGCTTCACACAAACTTTAATATTTTTATAAGATATATCATCAAGTTTAACT